TACGGCCAAATACCAGCGTGCCTCGACTTAGGGCCCAGAGGGCTTCCCATGTACCTACTTTGGAGCCCAAGTATATACGATATAGCTACATGGACTCTTTGGGATCATTGCAGCAATGGTCCCAAGAAGACAGTCGAGCGATGTAATTATGAACCTATGTTGGGCCACCACTTCAGCTTTGGGGCTCAGACTTACCGACTCGCAGTCGACTGCACGAGGAGCACCTGAGGCTTCTGAAGCCGCTGAGCCCTGTGCCCCTGGACCCTAAGCCGCGTACAGAAGATGGCTGGTGTCTGCTCCGGATCAATAAATGACATGCCTCTCATGTCCGTTCTCACGTGCGCTGACCGTATATACAGACGAGCTAAATGAAAACTTGGACAACCTCAAGACAGGCTAAGCTGCCTCTAAACTTTCAAGCCCAACATGTACCCGTGAGCCCTGGCACCACCCAAAGATGTACTCTCCTACATTGCCCTCACGTACAAATATCCTCTAGCTACCAACACCAGACGGGGGTTCTTGCAAGAAGGGGATATAGCACCCTAGACCCTACAAACCCTTAACCCCATACCGTAAATCCTAAATCCTAAACCTTCAAGCCCTGAAACTACCCAAACAAATTCATGACAGGTTTGCCGCCGACTTCGGCATCTCCGTGGTAGGGGAACCTCGGCTCCTTGAGGTACTGGGTAGTATAGTCCACCTTATAATTAGTCCCCCTTCAACAAGTAGAATATGGAGTATCTGGGGATGTTATTATATGCCCAAAGACATAGTCTATCTACTTAAGGGGGACTATAAGTAGATAGAAACTAAGTTTTGGTGCCTTTTTAGGGTTTAGGGAGGACCCCGGACTATGTAGGGGTTGTCTTGGGATCGCTGGGATATATGTACCATGATATACCATAATATACCTTAATACACCGTCATATACCATATTACCCTAGAACATATGTGAATATATGTTTAAAGGCCCAGTATCTTGAGCAAAAAATTACCCCAAACAAGGGATGTGCAGGGGAGCTTAAAGGGTTGCAGGCCTTAGAGGTGCAGGGGCTAGAGGTAGGTAGGGGAAATCTAAATTAACCAGGCAATCTCCTATAGTCTCTTACAGCTACGATTATGTATACCACTGGTGCACTGGTGCTTCGTAGTATCCCTAAACCCTAAGCCCTGAACCCTAAACCCCAAACACTAACCTACCTGGGTTCTTATGGGCCCAAATATCCAGGTACGTTTGTTGCCAATGCGAAATCGTA